AAAAAGCTGCAACTAACTTTAAAGTCGACTTTATTTTGACTATGACTACGGGCCATTTTTTAGATGAGAAGCAAAGGTGTTTGCTTTTTCTGCGTCACTCCGAGCCCATTTGCCATTGTGGTCCCGTACTGGCATTTCAGTCTCTATTGGCGCATTTAGCTTGTGGTGTGCTTTCCATAACGAGTGCTTTGTGCTAGTCGGTGAGAGCTTTTGGATGTACCGGTACTGTGCGTACTGTTCCTCGTTCTTGAGGGCTCTCGCCAGTGCATGTGTGGCCGCCTTGAGCAGTTGTTTTGATGCTGGTGATCTATGAGTCTGCCATATCCGTCGTAGGCGTCGTTTTTCCAAGACAAGCATTTCAATTTTCCTATTGGTTAAATAATATTTTTTATTTTGCACATAACCTTTCTGGGGTGTGGAAATGCTAGCTGCTGCTCTAAGTGTAGATTCAAGAGCGGCTATGGAGTTTTCAATATCGGTCGGCGTATCTAAATTTGGATCGAGGTCTATATGCGCACTGATATATTTTTTATACTTTAACCAATTTGTAGCCCTTGTCGTGAGCATATAGGGTGACTCTTTTTCTTGCGGCTGATGCCACAAGGTGAAAAGTACAGGTGAGTGGTCTGATGAGAGATCTGCAACTGATTCTGTACTAATAAGGCCGCGAGGAATTTTCCTTGCCACCGCAAAGTCAATCAAATCTGGCAACTTTTGCGGGTCTGCCGGTCAATATGTAGGCTTTCCAGGAGAAGCGTAATCGAGTTTTTCTTCTACATATAAGCGCGTTATATAATTGCTTGCCTTTAGGGTTGGACAAGCGTGAGCCCCAGTGAGGGTGCTTCGCATTATAATCACCTGCAGCAAGGAAGCGCTCTCCCAGCGAACTGAAGAAATCCATAAACTGTTTTTCTGTTATCGTGAAACGTGGGGGACAATAAACCGCGGACAGCGTAATATCACCTTGCTTTGTTTGTACGCATATTGATGTTGCTTGCAGATAATTCTCAGCAATGCCAGTCAAATGATGGTGTTTAATCCGGTTTCTGACTAAAATACCAGTTCCGCCATGCGCCTTTCCATCTGGATGATTCGTGCAATAAAAGGTATATCCAGAAATGTCAAAATTATATCTATTAGTTAGGTGTGTTTCAGCAAGGAGCATTATGTCAATTTCCTTGTCCTTAAGAAATTTTGACAGCTCTAGTTTGTGGCGAGGAATGCCATTTGCATTCCAGAGGGCTATTTTAAGTAAGGTCATTATCTTGTTTGCTGAGTAGCAAGCAGGTTGAGCAGCGTATTTTGATTTCGCATGAGTTCTTGCATTGTGTTTTGCATGAAAGTCATGAAATTCATCATGCTTTGTTGCATCGACGCTATCATAGCTTCGATATTGGATTGTTTACCATATTGTGCATGGGGATGCTGTTCTTGCGGCGCAACTTGAGGTGCAGTTTTTGTAGGGGCACGGTTTTCTAAGCCTGATTTTAAGGCACTTGCAAACGAGACACCATTGACGGTGTTTGATAGAACTGTTGGCGACGTGGCTCTTTTGGCGAAGAAGACGTCAGGATTCGTTTGGGAGGGTACAAAGGCATTCGGTACATTATGAGTACGTATGGAAGCCACGCGTTGGTTGATCCGGTTTTTAACTCCTTATAGACTGGACAGCCCCTGTAGTTTGCTGTGTGATTTCCACCGCAGTTACCACATTTTTTTGCACGCGGGTCTTCTTTGTTTGATGTGCAAGTGGCAGAGACATGTAGCTCTCCACAAGCTACGCACACTGAGCGAAGCGTGCAGTAAGACCTAGTATGACCATACTCCTGGCAGTTGGTGCATTGTACAGGGCCATTTCTCTTATGCGGTTCTTCCACAGTTATCCTACGATGCAGCAGATATTGTAATTTATAAATTGGATGCACATCGTTTTTGCCCAGAGGTTTGTTTTCAGGCTCGAGCTCAACTTTAAACATAGGTTGAGGGATTTTGTTCCTATTAAAAATATTCACAGCAGCTTTTGGATTGAAACCTTGTTCTTTAAGTGCTACCAAAACTTCCACAGCTTCAACGCTTGGTTCGATACTTTTAATTACAATTTGTAGACCTTTTGCACTTTTAAGTTGGTATGTATAAAATTTTGTGTTTGTGTCATTCAGGTATTTGGACACTGTTCAAAAATCCTGTTCGGAATAAATTTGTACTTTAGTTTCGCGAATATTTCCCTTAGATAGTGGGATAATATGAAACTTATTACTACCGATTAGCTGTGTGAATTTTATTAACAAGAGCGCTTGGATTCTCTTCTCTTATAAAAATGGGCGGAGGTTTGGCATTAGTAGCTTTTGCAGCATCTTCAGAAATTTGGCTATTCACATCATCGGCATTGTCACTTAGCAGTGCAAATCTATTCGTACTGACTTGCTGAGTTGAGGTAAGGCGGTTTATTATTGTCTTACTGCCCGTTGAATTTTGCGGACTAAGTTTTCTTTTTATTGTAACATAGCGGTCCATTCCAGTCTGTATGGCCGCATTTTTTGTTGTTTCGTTTTTCAACCTTTCTTGCGCTTTACCTTTGTTGCCAGTGCTTGCAGTCAAGTTAATTTGTGCTTGTGCAGCAAGAATAGGCCGGGCTGTTGACACCGCTGTGCAGTCGGCAGGTACCGGTGTGTTTGTTGTTGTTGTTGGTGCGATAGAGGTAGTAAAACATGTCACTGTACTAGTTGTTGTTGCCGCTATATTTGGGGATATGTTATCGCTTACCGAATTTGATGTAAGCGTTGGGCGTGAATTGTGATACGGCACAGGTGAAGCGCACTCTTCACTCCAAGACGTCGGAGTCGTCAATGGTAAGTTTGGAGGACAAGTCCGCTGACCTGAATCTTGAGGGGGTTTAAGGGTGGTCGATGGATTGGGCTTTGCGCTTTCGCTGTCACTCTGGGACCGAATAGAGAAATATGCGTTGTTGCGTTGAACTGAAAGCCGGCGCTCATTTTGCTCGCGTTGCTTCTGAGCTCGGATTTCAGCTTGACACATCGCTTTCTGTTTTCATTTGGTTTGTTTGTTTATTTTATTTATTTTTTTTTTTTTTTT